AGATCTTGTTAGTAATTCTCCTTACTCTCTGCCATAAAATACTTATGATGTTAGTTTGGAGAAGTTGGTATTGGATCAACTAATGATCCCCTAAATAATGCTTTTCTTTACTCTCATCACTTGTCTGCTTGATATTGTATTGATATGGAGAAATTCTGTCTTGGAGTTAAAGGATTAACAATATTCTCCCAGGATGTTGAGGATAGTTTTTTTCTCTTTTTCAGCAAGGATACTCTGTTAATTACCGGAAAAAAACAGTTTTTTATATTGCTTTGTCTTTTCATTACCATCATGAAGATATCACACATTCCCCTCAGAGGAGACTAGCTGGTTCTAGTTGCAAGTGTGGGGTCAATGTCAGTATCTGAGCAACTAGGCACCTACCCCTCCCCTAACCAAACAAATGTCAACTGATATCAAGTTACGTTTAGTGTTGCTGTAATTGATCTCAAGTGTGCTGGGCGGTCAAAGAGGATGTGATGTAATCCTCAGCTTAAGAGAGCAAGTCAATCTCTAAAATTTCTTGAGTACTAGTACTGAAAAAAAAAATTGTAAAAATTGTAAGCAAAGAAAATCCAGACTCTCATCAGGTTGCAGAGCAGTGGACTGCCCTGAAGAAGGTCATGGGTTTGAGCCCTAGACTGGACCAACACTCAGGGTCTTAAAACAACTGAGGAGTATGTGCTGCCTTTGCTCTGACAACTACAAATGATTAGACATTGTATTCTTCTTGGACGATAAAGTACATCTTCTATCAAATAGTTAGCAGGGGATGTAAAAGAACCCATGCATTTCACACAAAGAATAGGTAACATAGCTCCCAGTGATGTGGTCTGACCTTGTGTCCAAATATTCCTAAATTGGGGGCACCTGCAAAAATTTCCCTCCAATGTAAAATATTCAATGCAGTCTGGCCATAGTCCCCTGCAAAGTGTTGTAAAGCCCATTAGAGCACCTATTATTATGGAGAATGCACCATAAAAAAGTTAATGCATTATTTTCATCAGCATCATCTCTATCAGGACTCAGTCCAATAATGCAGCCTCTTTATTATTAAAGGCATACTCAACATCTTCTTACTCTACCTCCTCAAGCAGCAAAGGACCCACATTACCAGATGCTTTTGTTGGGACATGCACTCCCTCTTAATGTTGGTTTTAAGATAGCATAGAGGCATTGGCAACTAACAACATTTGAAAGGGGAGCAGGGAGAGAGAACATCTTGAACGTTTTCAAGGAGAAGTGTCCCAACTTACTATGTCAGGGAGTGTGGGTTGTACTTTGGAGTCAACTTTATAATACCTCAACTTGCCTTGCTCTCCATACATGGTCTATTAAAGATTTGTGATAAGTAGGACTCCACTTTGTACCCAATTAAACAAAATAGCTGGTTAGGGAATCAAACTCTCAATGTAGGAGCTTACAGTACTAAAATTAATTCTTTCTTTTGCCTAAACTGCAGGCTGCTGAAAAGTTGCACAAAGAAGTTGTAAGATTGTTTGTTGAGTTGGATTTCAGTCTTGTAAACGTGAAAGATGAAAACGGAAGATTACTTTCTGACCTGGTATCCTTGAAAGAACTTTCCTTGTTAAATATGCTTTAGCTACAAGAAACAGTTATACACAGTCTAGCACTCAACTTGTTCTTATCTAGGTGTAGTCCATTCTTAAGATATGGAACTGCTTTTTCATGTTGGTTTTCATCAAGTTTCTTTCCATTTTTGTAGGATAATAGACTACAGGTAGTTCCTGATTTTCAGCAAAGTCAGTTGTGCAAGTGAAAAACAAGATTTCCTGATGTGCAGCACAGAGCTCTGGGAGTGACATGCACAAAAGTAGGCCTTTTTTTTGTTTGTCTTACTCCCAGAGTTCCACTTATCCTAAAATCATGTTTTTTCCTCATTTTTCTTGGCTTGTGCAATGGACGTCACCTAAAGGAGGGATTGACCATTGTTTATCATGATGAGTGTAACCATGCATTGTATGCACTTTTGACAGAGTTTTTGTAAAAAATGTTTTTAAGGGCTTTATACCAGTATTTGCTCTCATGATACCTTGAACACCAGAAAGCCGGGATGTGGTTACCTTGGACAAGAAGAGCACTTAAACATAAATTTGTGCCAATGAGGGTGTGAGCCTGTCATGAATAGAGAAAATGTTGAGCAGTTTTATAGAGCTAAATTTTTAATAACACAAAATATTTGAAAACATTTTAATTGCAAAGGAATCATGAGAGATAGAAATCATGTTAAGCTGGATATTGGTACTAGATAAAGCATGTGATCCTTCATAGAGTACGATCAGGGTTTGGAACCTTGTAACCAAAAATCAATCTGAAGTTAATGACCAGAGAATTTTATTAATATTAATCTTTGTATGGCCCAATTCAGACATCTTTCATAGACAAAGATTGGGTAAGAATAAATATATCTTGTTGGGAAAAAGCTCTGAACAAACTCTTCTTTTCATCATTTACTCATTTCATTTTTATGTCTAAAAACAGAACTTTATAACTTTTGCCTATGTTGGCAGAATTCTAATGACACTGCTGGAGAGATTAGTGCCATAAAATTATATTCAGAGGGCCTTCTTGTAGAGTAATATGTTGAAAACTGATGAAGATGTATCACTGCAAAGTCTCAAAATTTTACAGATGTATGTTTAGTTACCCTTTGATGTCTTAATCCTTTGCACCTCCACATCAAGACGTAGTCTCTCCATACTGCTCCTTGTATATTTTTTAAGGCATTGGGAAGGAGAATTTGTATTTCAATCGTGAGCTTCTTTAGTTTTGATAATTCCTTCATGATTGATTCAGTTGTGTTGCTACAAGGAGAAATCAGATCTTCGTCACTCTGAGGAGTTGTAGGGTTAAGGAACCCTCACAGCATTGTTAAATCAACAAAAGTGGACTTTGAAGTTCAAAGTTGTTAGCATAAATGAGAATGAATTATTTAGTTGGAGAGAAAACTGTCACAGCTATCTGCTTTCAAATTAGAACTTTGTGTGCGCTGCTTAAATATCCTGCAGAGCAGGCTTAGTTTTGCCGGGGCAGTGGTCAGTATTTTCTTATAATTAGTGAAAATTATAATGCAAGCTGCCATTTTTAAAATTTTATAGCAGTAGAAGTCTAGGAAGAGAGAGAATCTTTTACTAAGGGGGTGATCGATGGTCAAAACGAAGGAGAGGGAAGGGGGTGGGGCAATCTCCTGCCTTCTACTCTTACTCTAAACCAAAAAAATTGGCCGGTTACATAGATCTTGCCCTGCATGGAAGCCTGCACCGCAGGTTATTGCCACAATGGATCGTATAAACTTTATGGACTATAATCTGTATAATCCAGTTGAGACTCCCGCAAACTCAAGAATTTCCTGAATATGAACATGGTTCTTGTTTGAAGATAATGTTAGCAACCGTAGAACTTCCTACGATCCAAAGTGGTGGCTAACAGAAAATTCAAACATTCTTTTTGCTTATATTACCTTCTACTTTTGATATATTTTAGATCTTGTTTCCCATTTTTTCTAGCGATTCTTCGTGATACAAGACAATTTCATCAGTTTCATGGACATTTGCTTTACCAGTGGAGGCTTGTTTGCTGAACTCAATAGCGAGGAACTCCCTTCCCCTTCCCCCCCCCCCCGTTGTTTAAGCGTCCGAAGAATGTCGCGACTTTAGGGTCTTGTTTTCTTCTCGTTCTGGTAGAAGTCTTTCTTAACCCTTTGACCCTTAAGACTGACCAGCATCTACTTTCTCCTTAAAATAAAGTCAAACATTAAGGTCACGAGAATAAAGGAAACGAACACCAACTAAAGAAGCTATTGATTTTTAAAAAATTATCCTTGTTAGATCCTCGGAAAATGTTTAGAGAACAGCATAGACAGAAGAATATGCTATAGCAATGTTGGGGTGTAAAAGGTTAATAATTGATTGGCAAAATTTAAGGTAGTCCTAACTCGAGGAACAATATTATTTCGCTTCTGTTGACAAAACATCCTTTTTCACTGCGAGGAAGAGGTTCCTGTTACAGTGGTTGGGGCCTTGGTGATCTTTTTCTGTGATTACTTTTATCTCCACAACGCTGTTTATACCACTTGCGTGGATATTTTACCCATTTTACTGACCTCGTGCCAGTTGGTTCGATGGCTTTCGATTGTCAGGTCCCTTTTATTGGTCAAAATAATGTGAAAGGGTGAATTGCCCCGATTAGTAGTCAAAGTAAAGAAACCAATCAGACTATTTCTCTCAGAAGGACACAAAAAATGCAGCTGAGAATGAAAAGAAGAAACATGGTCAACACTGGACTTATGTGCTAAACTAACAGTCTGCGTATTGGTTAGGGTCACTGGTGATATTTCTCTATCTCTTCAACGTTTATTCCTCAAACTTCAAGCTATTTTACCAATTTTACCGAGCCTCTTGCTTCGATGGATTTTGGCTAACTGATCCATTTTAATGAGAAAAAGAAAACGAAAAAACCTGAAAGGGCCATTGCAACGATTAGCAGTCAAAGAAGAGCAACCGAGAAGACTTCTAAAAATACACACTTCCATGAAAATGTACAGCTGAGGATGGAAAAAAAGATAGGATGTTGTGGCCACCGCTGGAGTTATGTGCTAAAAGGAGATCCGAATTTCGGAAAATAGGTTTACAAAACGTGTTTCGACATTATACATGTTGTCTTCAAATGCTTGCATGACAATTTAAATTTAACTTTGCATATTACGACAACGGCGGCAGTTCCTCTTTTACGTGATACAATGTTATTGGGCAAGTAAATATGAATAGGTACAAATTTATAACTGAGCAAATAAAAAAAAATATTGAAATATTATTTTCATGATTTGACGTAAATGGATGAAAAGAATCTGATAAAATTTTAGGCCCTTGCTTTAAGGTATATTGCAAACTTGTAGAAGATTGTGTTACTATCGAATCAATTTATAAAACCCTGCATTATGCGTGACCCTGAAGGCAGCCGCGGATATCAGTCCAAATGTGTCGACGAGCAAAGCGTGTCTTGATTCTTGATAATCATTGATTTTTGCCAGACTTATTAATTTTCCCCCCTTCTAACAGCCATGTCTGTTGTCGAATACTGTAAGCTAAAGCATCAGTGTACCAAGGAAATCAATTGGGAATTTGAAAGTGAGTTGTTGATACTTACTTACAAAGATCTTACCAGTTGTAATTCAGAAGACGAGATCACAGACGTTAATTCGTTTCTCACCAAACTGGAGGAGAGGAGTCTTCTTGGAATTGATCGTTTTCATGTATTGAAGGATCTCCTAAAAGGGATGAGAAAATGGGATCTTCTTCGAATGGTGGACGAATTTGAAATTAAGAGAAAGGACTACAAACAGTTTCTGGAGAAGATAAGTCGTGCACTCGACGAGTCCAATGAACTGCAACGACTTATTTTAATCTGCAAAAGACAAAATCTGATAGCTCATGACAGAGAGGAACACATTGGAAATGTCAATGCATTGTTCACAGAACTAGAAAAACAGAATAATCTGGGGATAGGAAACCTTAATATCCTGAGAAATCTAGCAACTGAAGTGGAGAAACCAGAGTTGTGCCGACTTGTGGATGACTTCAATGAGAAAAGAAAACAAGAAGACGATGCCGAGAGGAAAAGGAAAGAGTGGGAGGACTACAAACTAAGAGCACGAGGTAAGCGATAGTTTCTAACTGAATTCCTTCTTTTCGAAACAGTTCCTCGACCAAACGTTTAATCCTTATAATCGAACTTAGTCAATTGAATTTTGGGATACTTAGTGTTATGTTAATTGCCAGACCTCAGTTTAATATCAGTTCAACCGATTGTCGGAGAATGTAATGAGAACTGTAAAATTAGAAACTAAGCTGACGAAGATAACTTGCTGGAATATATTGTCAATCCGAGTAAGTAACCACAATGACTTGCCTAGACGGATGAAAACTAAATTTAGACGACCAGCCAAAATGTAATGGCTACGTTGCCAGTTGCGAGGCGAGATATTCCAGATATTTCACAAAGGTTTTTGCTTAATTATAGGCTCATAGCGTGCGTAGACGTGCGAACCTCTTTTATCAATTTATCTTTGATTTTACTGATGGTACAATTAGGTGGCACCTTCTTGAAGGAATCGATAGAGTGCTGGGAAGAAATGTTTAGACAATATGGCGGGCGAATAAACATTAATTTCGTTCCCAGGACCTCGTTTGTGTTCTCTTAAAGTCGGAAAAAGCTTTTTAGTTGCTTCTATTCCTTGAAGCAGGTGCAAGGAGTGAGGTTTTACCTCACTGCTGATCAGTTCATCCTTTACCATGACATTAAAATGAGCTTAGATATTTTCCATTCTGTTATAATACATTTGCTGTGGCACTGATTAGGGGAATTTAGTTAACAATCAAGGGCTTACCAAGTTTGCGATTATTTCCTTAATTCATGGGCCAGATGTTTTACTCCGCAGCGATACTGCAGTGATCATCAGGGGTTAACTAGTTAATTCACCAGTGATTAGATGGCCCTTCTGATCGTAAATCTAAGCCAGATACATGAAAAGTCTGTAATGAGAAGTATTTCATAGATCAATGTTCACGATTTCTCTCCCTGATTAATTATTGATGAAATAATGATTTATTAAACGTTCCAGTTCAGGCCGCTTCTGTTCTTGTTGGTGGAATAAACATTGGAGAAAGATTAATTGGAGGTAAGAGAGTTTGTTAATTTATTTTCCTGAGTGACAAAGCCAAATTGTATGGAACCTGAAACCTTAGACAGTAAAAACCGCTACACAATGCATTTAGGAGGCCCACACTGCTAGAGTCGTTGTGTGGCTATTGCATACTTAAGACCAACATTGTCAGCCTAACCAGAAAGTTAGATGTAAAGATGGGAACCAACATATAAATTTGCTCAATTTCTACCAAATAAACATGGAAATTGCTGGGTCTAGACTTGTCAACTATTTGTTAAAGTGCTATCCTAGGAAAACTCTGGTTAGTTTTCACTTTATTTTGTAATAGTTGTCACCAATGTTGCGTTTCGCAGCAAGGATATGTAGGCAATTTTTAACCAATAGAATAATAAAAGAGGAAAAGTTGAGTTAAGTACATGTAAACCCTTCGAAATGAATTTGAGTTTTTGTTACTCCCACACAAAACGAGTTAAGTATGAAAATGTTACTTAGTACGTTTTACAACCCTTCAACTTACATTTATTGTGAGCTTTCACATAGTGAAATTGTCAATTTATGTTTAGATATCTCTGGATTTGTCGTAGTTCTTAGTTTTGGAGATTCGGAGGTAGTAATTAGGTCTTTAGACCTAATTTTGAGCCATGCACTGCTGGGTATTTATTTTAGTGCGTAAACATTCAATTACTGTTTTTACATGTAAGAAATTCTTGGATGAATAAGGAACAATCGTACAAAATTCCAGTTCTCAGACAGAACTCTCTGCAATTGCATATTGAAAGTATGTCAAAAATTGCGTCGATCTCATGAAAATCCCGACAAAATTTGCGCAGATAAAATAAAATTCTAGTAATTAGTGTCGCGCCACGCAGTCTGCAACTGAAGTTATACTAGAATTATCTCATTGCTTTCAACACCCGTTTATTGCTACCAACAACCGAAGTTTTACGGACAAATGTAAAATAATGACAAGATCCAGCGTTATCCTGTGGATTTACGATTAGCAATTTGAGGTTCCCTCTCGTAACTACGATTTGTTGATACGTTGCGTGACGGCGCCAGTTTCTGTACTTTTGCAAGTTAAAAAACTAACGCCTTCAAACTTCCTGCGAAAATTTTTCACATTTACTGGTCAAGTTAAAACAGAAAAGCTAATTTGTAATAGTATAGTTTACGTACAGTGTTCTAAGCTGGAAGCAAGAATACTTTTAGTGACATTTGCAGTTGCCTGCTGGTTTATCCATGTTTATTGTAAACAAATTCTACTCTGCTACTAGCGACTGATTCCAATATTTCTGCTAATGAGTAAAAATAGACGGCATTTACCTTTTCAGTGTCGAACGCAAATATTTCATGGGTCTCTGAAGTAGTGTGTTCATGCCTGAGGCGCGTTGACTCTACTAAATTTTGGAAGTTACCCGTGCAATGGATTTGGTAGCTCAGAACCTCAGATGCTCAAATGCACCCAATTGTAATGCGCGACAAGCCCTAACCTACAAAATGTTTACTTCAATGACTCTTAACTCTATTAATCATCGCCCCTCCTTTCCCATGATAATTTGAGGCCATGTCCAGCTTTGTCTGCTGACTGGGTAATACACAAGCCACAGTTAGTGGCATTTCCCATGGTAGATTATCCCAAACTGTATCACATTTAAGTTTTAGTATCCCTTGTCAACCAACGGCTACACTGGATATCTGATTTTGCTAACCTTAAAAAGAAATGTCACGAACGAAAACCATTTTCCCTTTGTAGTTACGCATGAGTTTTCAATGGAGAATCGTGATTGGCCCTTATACCTTGAACATCAAAACACCACCACCTTTAATTTCATGGGCGCTTTGTGTGATTTTTTGGCGTATCCATAAATATTTACCCGGGAAATTTACCTCGGAGAAATACTAGTAACACTCACTAAGTGCAGTTTCACGTTGTAATAGGGTCACTTATCACGATAAAAAAAAGCCCCGTGTAACCGTACCCTAAGAGAGTTAGGGTGCTTACCATTTACCAAAAAAATCTGGAAATTTCGGTCGAAAGTCAAATGGAACAGTAAGGTGCTTACCATTTGTCAGAATAAACCAGTTGGGACGACCGTTGAATAATGGTAAGGGTTTTTCCAATATCATCAAACCAACCGAACGAGATGGCGCTTACCATTTGCAATTCGATTTCCCGTAATTGTTTTCGGCTGATGAGAGATCGGAAACTGGAGAGTTTAGCAAATGGTAAGGAAATTTCCGCCGTTCCGTTCCGAACAGAAAAAGAGGACTTCCTCTGGAGGAAGTCCACAATTTCCGAACGGATTTTTCAAAAAAAAAAATCCGTTTCATTTGACCTTCGACCGAAATTTCCGGATTTTTTTTGCTAAATGGTTAGCGCCCTAATTTTCCGGAAAATTCATTCGCAAATTGTAGAGTACCTCCAGAGATAGTCCTCTTTTTCCGGTCCGAATGGAACAGCGGAAATGTCCGTACCATTTGCTAGTCTCCAGTTTCTAGTCTCTCATCAGCTGAAAACAATTCCAAATGGTAAGCGCCATCTCGTTCGGCTGGTTTACTGATTTTGGAAAAACTGTTACCATTATTCAACAATCATCCCAACTGGTTTATTTGACAAATGGTAAGCACCCCTAATTTCCTCGAAATTAGAAGTCCAAAGATGTATCTCCCGTAAGCGTTTTGTCTTCGGAAGCTTGGGATTCTACGGAATCTTTACTCGGCATTTATTACTATAACATGACAAATTGTATTACACTCACTGTAAAGCTAATCATACCGCATCAACATTTATTTGACTGAAATCCCACACAAGTAAGCATTACAGACCTGTTTTTTTTTTCTGTGACCGAAAAAGAACATTTTATATTTATAGTCTATCTACTTCTCTTTATACTTAAGCTTCCTTATCGTCTCTCTCTCAGTAACATAAATTTCGAAAATAGCAATTCACTAAAATCTAGTCTTTGATAGGCTCTCAGTTGCTGGAGATAAACAAAGAAGTAAGAAAGTGAATTACGCGAGGAGTCTGTGAAGGAGTGCTCTCCTTAGCCAACTCTCCACTACCGTTTGTTTCTTTGCCTCGCCCCGCTATTTCGGTAGACTCCACAAGCGGCTAAAAAAAACCTTATGATTTCCACACTTTTTACAGTTGTCACACCTCTCTGTACTTTCCGCAATGTTACTGGTGGTGCTGTAGTCGTCACTACATGGATGGTCCTTCGCAGGAGTCCTAGTATGGAAGCATTTGTCAATGCTTTCAAAGAAGCTGTTCTTCCATTTGGAAATTGCTTACGTGCAATTAGTGAAGGATCAATCCGATTTACGCTTCAAGCAGAAAATATTTCCGCTCTTGACGCACTATGGCAAAGTTATCAAGACGCAACGCTACAAAAAAATTTACAAGAGTTCCTTGTTACTGAGGAAATAAAGCAGCTGGCAGGTGGTGAAGTGACATTGACTGTGCATATCGACAAAGATGAATACAGAAATGCAAGGTTGGATTTGATGATATCAGGAAAAGAAGGTAACTACACCTGAAATAGTCCCGCCATTATGCATGATTCCTTGTGCAAGGCGAAACGTCTCTCGTTGTATCCTATAACGGTAAGAATCACGGCATATAGAAGATTTGATGTAATTTTCTTTAAAAGTTGTTGCGTTACGATCCATCTAATTTTTTTTCCTCGTATGCGATTTATTGGAACACGCCACGAGACTAAATATACACCAGCTCATACATAACCCTCCAGCTTTATTCTCTAGCTGATGTTTCAGGCCTGATTTAAACTTACCTTTCATGAGATAACAGCCGTATACGATTAAAATATCGTTCAATTTTGGCGCGAATGAGACTAATTTACGTGTTAACAAAGGACAAAATATACAGTTAAACCAGGTGAGTTTTCAGAAAAATTATGTGCATTTAGTTTTTTCTTTTTTTCTCCAAGACATCATGCACTACGCGTTATCACCATTGTGTAGGGGTTGATTATATCTACATGAGCTTGAATTCGGAGGAGAAAGGATCTCAATATCTTTAAATTATTTGATGGGCGCTCTTTGTTCGCAAACGTACTTCCTTATAGCTAACATAAATTGTTTAAGTCCAGATATTTGAGTTTGCGGAAAGATCCATAGTGCAGAACTTGAAATTGTAGACTTAGGCATATTTCCTCTTTCTCGGCCTGATCTGTCGCGCGGGTCTAAAGAATACCTTTGAATCGCAACATCATTTTTGTGTATGTTTGCTCGACTGACAGAGTGAGCTGGGAAAGTGTAGTTGCTCATAATCGATCAAAATGTCCAACGGGTTGTTCTTCCTCTTCACGTAGCAACAGGTTCTCAAATTGATTATCCGAATGACATCCGCAACTCCTCCCTTAAAACAGCCCAGTGATATGAAAAGCGTTCACTTGAAACGGGTCGATATTACCGTTTGTAAAACTCATTCCAAAAGCAACTTTGAGTAGTGCTCAAAAATGTAATTTCCAGACAACTTAAGAGCGAATGTGGCTAAAAATCGAAAATTTTCAAAATATGGTGGCAACAGCCAAAAAACCAATTCGGCTAATATTCTCAAGTTAAGTAGGCCTTAAAGAGGAATAAACCACGGTATACTTCAAACCCATGTGCGATTTGGTGTTTTTTATGGGCTCAGGTTTTTTCAATTTGTGACGTGACACGACGCTCCGTGATTCGCCTGAAATTTTGAGCTTCAAAAGTGGCACTTTAGCGGAATTCAGTCATTATCGATTTTCTTGAAAATAAAACGATATTCAGACAAGCAAAGTATTCTGTGACTTATTTCCTATTGAGACTTACTTAACTTTGAAATATAGGCGAATTAATTTTTCAGCTGTTGCCACCAAATGTTTGACCGCTGGTAACATTCGCTCTTAAGTTTCACCTACCTTGTGGTACCTTATTTCTCACCAGCATTGGATTTATTTCCGAAAACTTGATGATTATCCAACGCTTCCTCAGCATTCTATTTGATTTTTTACTACAAATTTTAGAGATGAAACTTGAAGAAAAAAGAGGATTAAAAGATCGAGCAAGTTCTGATTCAGACCTTCTGAAAAAACGAAACATGACCACATCGAATACAAAAGATCTTTTTGCAGAGAGGGAGTTTTTACCACTTGAGAGAAAAGTGCGTGTAGAAGAAAATCTTTGGGAGACCTTCAGCGATATCACACCACCAAGTGATAGCGGAGCTGGGACCTGGAGTGGAGCCACTTCCGAATATGGATTTGAAAATGGTAAAAGTGATAGTTAGTCTCCGCCGAATGATAATTTTCAAGAGAATAGGTATGAATTTCCGAGCCATGTTGAGTCATTGAAGGTCTTTCCCACTCGGCTTCGCGATTCAATTGTGATGTAACTATAAATGTTGATATCAGATACTCCGGTCCTAGAAACTTTGCTTTCGTGTAAATAGTCTCGTAGGTTACTTGGGGAAATTGTGGACTTGGTAAATCTCTTCTCTCTCAGCCTGATCTGTCGCGTGGGTTTAAAGAATACCTGTGAATCGCAACATCATTTTTTGTGTTTGTTTGGTCGACCGACAGATTGAGCTGGGAACGAATAGTTGCTCATAGTGAACCAAAATGTCCAACGGGTTGTTTTTTCGCTTCATGTAGCAACAGCTTCTTGAGTTAAGTATCCCAATGACATCCGCAACCCCTCCGCGAAACAGCCCTGTGAAATAAAAAGAGTTGAAACTTGAGTAGTGCTCAAAAATGTAATTTCCAGATAAATCAAGTTTCACTTACCTTGTGGGTTATTTCTCATCAGAATATGATCAATTATCGAGAGCTTGATGATTATCCAAGTAAAATACAATGCTCAATGTCTCAATGCTCTTTTGCAAATGTAGAACGCACCGCTTCATTCAGCCCTATATTACATTTTTGACTTTAAATCTTAGAGATCAAACTCGAAGAAAAAAGAAGATTAAAAGATCGAGCAAGTTCTGATCCATACCTTCTGCAAAAACGAATCATGACCACAATGACTTCAAAATATCCTTTTCGAGAGGGAATGTTTTTACCATTTGGGACAAAACTGAGTGTAGAAGAAAATCTCTGGGAGACCTTTAGCGAAACCACACCACCGAGTGATAGCGGAGCTGGGACCTGGAGTGGAGCCACTTCTGAACATGAATTTAGCGAAGGTAAAAGTGATAGTTAGTCTCCACCGAATGACAATTCTTAATAGAATAGGTATTAGTTGCCGAGTCTTGTTCAGTTCTTACTACTGAATGTCATTCCCACTCAGCTTCGCGAGTCAATTGTGATGTAACCATAAAGGTTAATGGCAGATACCCCGGTCTTAGAAACCTTGCTTTCGTGTCAATAGTCTTGTTGGTTACGTGGAGAAATGCTGAAATCGTTGCATAACTGGCCTTTCACTTTCATAGTGGTTGGGTGTAAAGACTTTCTAGCAAAAATGTAGCCCAGGTATGAAAGTACATCCTCCAACAAGATGGTTCTTCTTTTCTTTTAGTTCCTTGGTTACTTATGGGTAGGCTCCTTGAGGAGATGCCAGAGGACAATAGTTTGCCAGAAATTTTGAAACGTAAGTAACGTTTTGTGAAATAGTCGTCTAATAGGAACGTCTACATGTAAATACATTTGTTCAGTGGCCTGTTGCATGTTCCAAGCCATCGACGTTTACGGTAATAACAACTTTTTCGAATCCATCCTGGATTAGGGTGATCTATTTTACTAAGATGTGGGTGCTTCCGGTTAGGAAATTCCATTTGCGACCTGATGGCAACCGGACGAGAGATACATTCTCTTTGTAATCACTTTCATTGATTGTATCTACATGAGCTAGAATTCCTTTGTTCTTTTCCGAGGGGAATCGTTCTCAGTAGCTATATATTATTTGATAGGCGCTCTTTGTCCGCAAACGTACTTCCTAATCGCTAACATAAATTATTGTAAGTCCAGATAATTGGGTTTGCGGAACTCAAACTCTTTGAGTATGGGACGAGTGTAAGACAAAGAAGTAATTGTAGTAAACCATGTGGAATCGAGTCTCAGATATTTGCATTCCGAGGCTCAGATCCACCCCTGAGACTCTGCGGTGAGTTAAGCCATGAAGCGGTTGAAAACTTAGATTGCTTTCGCAATTTCTTTAGCGAGTTCAAAACTTATCATCTTTCTCATTCTGTTCATAAATCCTCAGGAGACAGACTTAAAAAGCTCGACCAAGTTGACGGTTCAATTAAAGATGCCACTGAGAACTGGAACAGCATTCTGGGAGCATACAAAGATGCATGCCCAACCGAAGGTCATATGATCAATTGATTATTTTCAACGAATCAAGTATACTTTTAATCAGTTAATAAGTTGATTGACTTTTAAAGATGATACTGTCAGTGATAATACAAATCTTCTTCAAAAAAATATAGCGCACGAATAAAGAGCTATCCAGATGAGGGCTTTATGCTGGCTTAATATTCTTGTGCAATGGATATTTAGCGCCTCTTCTTTCTATCATATTTCGCCTGATGGCCATGTGTGGCTGTGAGTGATAATCGATTGCTGGCTTTTAAGATCAGTTACAATGTGAGAAATTGATTCCTCATCTTTCCGTGATATAATGTGTTTAAAATAGCCTTTGTTTGTGTAATAACCATAGCATAATAATTTTAGCGGTGCTAATACTGTAAATACATCCAAAAGTGCTCTAAATTAAGTACTACCAGATTCACACATCTATAACCCAAGTTATATGTTTCTGGTACTACAAAATACTGTGGTTAAAGCTTTCCTAAAAGGAGTCGTTCTAAAATTAGTTCTTAAAACGGGCGAGGCTTTTACAGTGAGGCACGATCCCCAAGAGTAAAGAAGTTGACTCTTGGAACGAATAGAGGACGAATAGAAGAGCATAATTAGCAGTTGATGACAATACATCTTTAATGTAGGATGGACTAAGATCGTTTCACGAATTGAAGACCATTCTGTTGAGCATGAATTTAAGACTAAGAAATTGCATTCTCAATTTTTTCTAGGACGTAAATACCATATCATAGGGCAAGAATTGAAAAAGATCAGAATCACTCTCAGAACCTTTAGAGAGAATGAAAAAAAGTGGATAAATGCAGGTCAGTCTCATAAAAATTAAATGGTTGACCCTGGAACAGTCACCATTAGTTAATTTAGGGAGGTTGCCTTATTATGACAGAGTGGCTATGGGTTGTACCATGCAAGATCATGTACTTATTGACCGAAAGCCAAATATTTTCTCGTCCAGCCCGACCAAACTTGGTCAATAAGAATTTTATCCTATAACCACCAACTGTTGAAAATTTCAATGTCATGTGATAATTCTACATCTTACATTGCTAACAGCGCCCGTGGGCAAGATGAAGCGAATCCTGAGTGCTGCTTGGCTACCTGGGTTGACAAGATAGGTCCATTTTACCCGCTTGGGATTTCCCATTTTAATATCGCCCCCTCCCCCCCCCAAAAAAAAAAATTGGGAGCTTGTGCAACTTTCTAATTAATTTCAATCAACGTTTTTGACGTTTACCCATCAACAGTGTAAACCTATCAAATCAGCTTTTTTAATTTGTCAAATAATTTCCCAGCGCTCGAACACAAACAATTCATTCTTGATTCTCTATGTAGTCGGCGAGATCCTTTTGCTATACAATAAATAAGTCTTTTGTTGATCAAGCAGTCAAAGCGCCCTTATTTGTAACTTTTTAAAATCAGTTTTGGCTTAAGCCCTAGCATGTTTATTCTTACTCAGTGGCCTCTACATTCTATATGCGTTATATTGTCCAACTAAAAGATCAAGCTAAAAGTTAAGATGAAAGGTTATTAGTGGATATATAGGTCCATAAAACACACACACAAAAAAAAATAGAAAAATCGGCCAATATCCAGCCATCTTGACCTTAAAGTGCTCCATAGCACGTACAGAATGTGATTGAGAATAAGATAGAATAAACCTGCTAAAGATCATGGTATTGTTAAAGCAATTACAAATGAGGACACTCTTTATGAATGATACTTTAAATTACGTATCGCTAATATTTTCAAATGACAGTATTTAGTCAAGAAACGAAAAACAAAACAATAACCACAATAATTATCAGTCAACTTTAAATATGAAGTTTTGTTTTATCTCCAATTGAGACTCTTAATCTAAATTAGCTAACGGATGAACATGATTATGACCAAATTCTTTATTTCATATCTGGTCTGGCCGAAACTTGAAACTTTGAGAGCTTGAAAGCTTACTGTAGTGGCACAGCATGACAGCCCCTTTTAAATTTCATTGATCTCTCATCTTGTAGTTGATGTACTTGAACTTGCATTTGGCCTCTTAAAACATTTGGCCTCTTAGAATCAGTCGTCCTTTCAATGGAGTAAGTCTGTTTATTTTAAAACACCTTAAACAGCAAACCCTGATCAGCTGAACAATCCACGAGCAACCATCAGATTTCTCCTAGACAGTTGATATTAGTGTCGAGGTCAATCATTCCGTTAATAATGTTTTTCCATCTTTTTTGTTGCATTTTAGAATCTACTTTGACAAAGCCAATCACTTCTCAAGCTACCTTAAAAAAATTGGAAAGATTTCTGCATCTTAACTCTGGTGAAGATTATTTCAGAAAACCAACCTCTGAGGACAAAACAAGGATCCGTGTCTTGGCAAGAAAAGTTAGAAATTTTAAAGAAACGGACGTTTTTTCTTTCTTGAGAAAGATCACACCACCAGGAACAACAGGTTTTGCTGTTTAATATCATTTCCTTAAATTCTGCTCAATACTTACCTATTGGTTTTGAGCAATTATAACCATGATGCCTTGTTAACAAAATAGTCAGAGGGCCTACAACATCGAGTTGTCTTCAATCCGTGAAATTCAAATAAAAAATAATTGGCATAAAACAAGCAGCACTTTTAAGTTTGCAATACATGCTTGGATATTACTCATATCATGTTCAATTGCAAAATAATGTCCTTGTTACTATTTGACTTTAAATTTGAATGTGCGTTATCAAGTTACAACGTTAGATTACGCTGTACAGATTCGTAAACTATTCGAATAAAATACATCGGAAGTACGAAAGGCAAAAGTGGTATTTTGAAGTAACCCAGGAAAAACCAAAACAGAATCCGTTAAACTAATTTCGCACTAACTTGCTTTTAAAGTTTTGAATTAAGAATATACTCGGGGCGGGAACCATTTGTGGAAAGGAAAATTATTTCCCCGGCGTGGCCGCGACAGTCATCATCTATTGCTCTGTTCCTTAGATAACAAGCAGCCTCTGTGTCGAACCAGTTGTTGAGCGTGAAAGACAATCGAGATGTTTACAGAAAAAGTGACCGTGCCAAAACTGGGCTCTCGGTCTTCTCGCCTAGCTACTTAAGGAAAAGAGCACCAGCTAGGTCGCGTTGCTAAGGTTAATGATCTCGATACAATCGCATCATAGTGTAATGAATTTATTCCGTTTTGCTCAACAACAGTTGAAAAGAGAAAGTTAGTCTCGAAAAACAACAAAGTCCAAAGTTCTTACCAACGTAGCGAAAAAGCGCGAGAGGCAATACACGTGATGAAAGAATCAACAATTATAATGGAGGGGGGAGGGGAACCTCATGAATCCTGTAAACCATAGTTTGAAATCATTTGAATCGTGTGGTCGAGTCTTTATTACGATCGTATATTTGTGTGGGAAGCCATTGAGTCAAAGTATTTATTCCTAAGACGATTCTCCTTTTCTTTCAGGTCCTCGGTTACCTGATAACTTGTCTATTCATGAGATCCCGAAAGACAGAAAATATTATCTTTCAGTATTTTTGAAATGTGAGTAACGTTTTGTAAAGTAGTCGTCCAATACGAGCGCCTACAGGCAAGCATGCAGCAGTGGCCTGTTGCATGTTCCAGATCATCAACATTCACGGTGATTACAACTGTTTGGGATCGAGTCTGACTGGGTCCCAATGGTAACCGGCCGAGAGACACACCCCCTTTGTAAAATACACTTAATGTATGGTCGCTAGGGAAACCGCAATTTTTTTTCCCAAGAATTTTGATGGGGAAACAATCGCACAGTTGTTGCCCGCTCGCCAAATACAATAGCACGCTAGTTTTTTTTGCCATATGATCGTTTAAGGAAAGTCTAAATATATAACAAGGCAAAATATTTTAAAGTTCACGTAGCAACCAGCTGAACAATTAGACATGGTTTGATTCTCCTCTGGTTGAAAGATTTAATGAAAGTAACCGAGAACTAACAACTCATCGACCCAACGTTTCGACACTACTGTCTAGTGCCTCCATCAGGGGTGATCTAAACGCTGCAACAAGAGCTCTTTTTATACGCTTACTTATTAGCTGTACTTTTTTCTGACGAGGTGTAAATGGGCGACAGGAAGTAAGCCGCCATCATCACGATTTAAAGGATACTAATTGTTCACAAACGTTATGAGTTTTATCTCTTTTGAAATCCGCAAGTTCGCAGGAATTTTTGACAGAGTAATCAGTATTCCCAACAACAAGCGACAAAATTCTCTCAAGATAACCAAAAACTGCATAAGTCGGAGAATTAAAACAAGAGACAATAGGCATCGATGGAATTCCTGGTTTATGAATTATAGGTAAACCATAAAAACGTGGACATAAGCAGTCACTACTGTTTAACATTTTGTACGTATAGCCACAAATCTTACCAACTTTTTTTAACCTACCTGAAACCACTGTCAAAAATTCCTGCGAATTTGCGGATTTCATAAGAGATAAAACTCTTAACGATTGTGAAGAATTAGAAAATTGGCGATCGTAAAGAGTTAAAAGGCTGATGTTTCGAGCGTTAGCCCTTCGTCGGAGCGATAGCTCGAGAAGTCAGTCTTTAAACTCTTTACGGTGGCCAATTTACGTTTTCAACTCAGTTGTTAACACTAAATTACCTGCTGTACTCTCCCACCGACGCAGCACCACAGTTTCTTTAGAAACTTACCTCCTTTATTCATTTATATAACAATCACTTTTATTGAACCAGTACCGTATCGTGTAATGGACCCCTTTGCACATGTTTTCAGTCTCATACTTTGTATCGCTTCTTTGTTTTTGTTCACGAGGAAAACAATAGTCACGAGGCGTTTTGAAAACACACTAAAAACTACATATCACGAAAAACAAACAAACAAAAAAAAAAAACCCACAAAGCTTGGTCTTCTCGTTTAAATAAGAATCACTAAAACAGCAGAGAAACTTCTGTAATCACTAGTGAGTCTGGAATGGCCTCTCTACTTTTATCTCCGCTCCACTCCATATGTTGAGTGCATGACATAGACCACACTAGAAATGAAGCCGTACTGCAGATGTGTTATTCTTTTTTCATTGTAATGCTCCATGGATATATCCTTGCTAGCAGTTCATAAAGTAGGTCACTCATATTACTTGATGGTCTGATGGGTTTTAAATTATAAACAAGTAATATTCCGTGTCGCGCAATTGAGATGAACGTTTATTTTCTTTATTTTAGGCCAATATTCCGAGATGCGGCATCAAATGAGGGGACTGGACTACTCGAACGAAAAGTTAGTGAATGTTTTAGCTAGGCGACACGACTTAAGAACAGTGGGTGAGCTGTATGACTTTCTATGTGAAAAGGGGCTGCCTCCCGCTGCCGATATTCTTTAAATATCTCAACCCCCCCATACCAGCCCACGAGGATCTCTCGATCTCATGTTTTCTTACTCTATCCTATGAGATGATGAATCAGCTCACCCTTACCACAGGGAACAGATAATTTGCTGCTAAAGTCAGTCATACTGAATTGACATGATCAACTTTTCCTATAATTCCTCCGACTTAGTCAGTTAGGTAGGGTTGGTTATTATAAAAAGTAATGTTAGTATCGGAAGGTAATTTAGTTTTGCACATTGTTAAAATTAAAATAACTTTTCTCTCATCAGTAACTTGCGTTAGTTTTCTAACCGGCGCGAGAAATCATTACCTTTAATTAATATTGTAAATAGTGCTTGTCTTTGAAATGGTAGAAGCGGTAAAATTTCATGTTTACTTGCGGTGTTTCCATCGGGTTCAAACTTACAGTTATTTTTAAAGGATTTAATTAAACTAACTACATTAGCTAGGAGCTAGGAAAACCAAACAAAAAAAATGTGGTCAAAGTCTAACCTGCTTTACAAGGATACCGTGTATATTGACATTGTACGAAAAAACTAGACGATCTCAGTTTGAAAAATGAGTTTTCTCAATTTCATTTCAAACTCACTCAAGGAGTTGGATCGTTTAATTTATTTGGCGATGCTTTTCCATAACACAGCCCTGCTTATGCTTAAACTTCGCTCACATTAATTAAACGGGTATTATCTTTGACGAGTATTATTCTGTACATATATAAACGAGCCGTGATATGTTCAGAGCAAAGAGATGCAAGAGCTTGTATTCCAACCAGCAATTACCAAGTGCTAGTCCATGGACATATTTGACCAAAATAGAGAAAAGTGATATGCTTTATCATGACACTGACAAATCGGTGAAAGATCATTTGACGCATCTGGTAGCTTCAATTCTTGACAAAATTTTCTGAACACCAACGACAAAACGGTCGAAAATGAACAAATTTTGAAACCATGTAGGCAAGATTACGTCCTTCTCTCTTTGCAATCTTGGTTAACATCCGAGCCGAATTCATGCATAAAAGCTGCAATTGGTTTCAACATTGCTTAAGGGGTTGGAGGACAGTTCAGAGAGTCGTTTTTAGAATATAGACATATTTTTTCACAGTAGATAAAACACATATTTCATAAAGCCTTTTTTTCCAAACAAATTTTGATCAGGATAGTAGATGTTCGCTCGGTAGATAACAATAACTAAACTTCATTTGCACTTTTTATCAAGCGCGTTTGATTAATTTGTGAAGTTTTGAGGCTTGTAGGTCAGAATTTCGCAGATTCTGAATAATATTTCCAAAGGGTCTTGATGTTAGCAGCAAGTCAAGAATTTAAAGAAAGCGACAAAACTTTTAAGTCTGTAATACATGTTTCGACAGAGACTTCTGTCATCTTCAGTTAATTATAGTACAAAGTGTTGGAAGTTGAATCATCTAGTAAGTAGAACAATGCTAATTATGATAAATGGTGACAACAAGAGAAGAGGTAAAGCATGAAATTGAGAGAATTACAAGGATAGTTTTAGATTTACATGGTGTAATTGTTGATTCAAGGATGGTTGTTCTCTTTGAATATAAATAGCCTCTTTTATTTTGAGTTGAAAACCGGTAGAGACGTGATCCAAAACATGGAAGTTATCTGCTGTGTAAAATCTTGCAGATGCTTGAAAATGTGAGAGGCCCTGTCATTGACTAAGGGACTAAATTAAACTTCCAACACTTTGTACATTAATTCACTGAAGATGACATTAGTTTCTGTCGAGACATGTATTACAGACTTAAAAGTTATGTCGCTTTCTTTAAATTTGAATAATACATTTTAACATTGTGTTTACAGCATCGACAAAAAGCAATCTCCCCCCCCTGATTTTTTTCACTTTTTATATGTTAATCCTTATATCAGTGATTGTAAAAAAAATTGTAACGATCAATTCGCGTTTGTCGGAAATAAAGATTAATTCAAGAACAATTATTTTCGTGCCTTTGACAGTGAAATTAGTCTCCACCAATGCCAGTGCATTAGAGAAAGCGAGAAGGAAATATTGATTCCACCCCTCTCCCCATCGTCCCATCATCTCATATAAGGGCCACATGTCAGAAAAAAAGTTTGTGGTCAAATTCGGCTTTCAAAATGGTTTATTATCCAATCGTAGCTCTCCTTGCTCACATGGGTGGGTATATGTTGAGAAAAACCTTCGTCGCGACAAGTTTCAGAATGAACGCACTCATTAAGTTGCAAGTTAAACATGCTAAATTTCACGGTCGATAACATCGGGAAAACGTTTTCTTTCCGCTTCAATTCATCTGGTTGCGTTCTTAGCTGGAGATCTTATGATCGAAAGAGTAATCTCCTCAACTCTTATATGATAAACATAGCAGATCCGGTGTTTCAATGATGCTGGTTAATTTTTCCTGACCTCAACGTTTAATTGGCTCCGCTATAGTTGAATATATCTTTGGGCTGAATGAGTCGACATCTCGCCGAAAATTAGAGAAAAATGGGCCAAAATTGGTCTGTCGGGCTTCGTAGCGCCCGCTTTTCTGAGTTTCGGAAAAGTTCAACTTCTACACGCGGGCTTTGGAAAAGAAAAGTTTTGTCTTCAATTTGCGTAAATGATAGGGGAGATTTGAGAATGGGAAGGCCTGTCCCTTTGCACATGAAAACGCACAAAATTCGAAGAGCGATTTTCTGAAACCCCAACTACCTTCCGAGGGAAGAGTAATCTTTACTCTAACAGAATCTGGTTTGCTTTTTAAAACATTGGTCAACAGGAACCACTGTCCTTATGAGTTTGAAAATCGTCATTTGTAGATGTACTCAAAAATGGAACGTTTCGAGCGAGCAAGCCATTGCCTCGAGTGCAGACAGGAATAAAAATACGCCTGTCAAACTAAACAATGCTCATCATGGAGACAGTAGCGCTTGTAAATTTTTCCACGTTTGTGGCGAATTTAAATCTTTTGATGCATCAGCTGTACTTAGCGGCTGTAACAAAAATGTTAGAGGCAGGAGCTCTTTCCGGAGCTTAGTTTTCATCAGAGTTAAATGGATCTTCGGGACGTGTTTATCAGCAATGTTCCTAAATATTGTCACAGACCCTATGCTGGATAAATCCATTTTATGACTTCTCTGATAGTAAATATATTTTCGCTTTAAAAAGAATCTGTTCCTGCCTCTGAAAATATTTCAACAAGGTTTGAATTATCTCAGATACGATGCCGTAGTTTCACAACAACTTTTCGAGTTTTGTTGTATCTGTTTTGTAGGTAGTGGCAAAAGGCAAAACCTACATAGATGTAAGGTTTTTATGTTGTTTAACGGTTTTCCTCGATGAGAGCTTCACTTTGGACAGGAATTTTTTTTAACGGGCTCTTGGAGTATCCTCGGTTGAATCTTCGGGAGGAAAAATCTCGCTATAAATGGATGTGTACTTAAAATTCATAAAGCTTCAGCTTCCAGACTTCTAAGTTAAGATAAATGTGAGTAAAGCGAAGACTCATTTGCATATTTCCACATTCCCAGAGTACAAAGCTAAGATACATGCGAGTAAGCTAATCATACATCACACATTTTCACGCTTTAAGGTTACTCTGAGGTGATTAATTTTATGTACAGCACATTCCATTGTGATGACGTGTTCTGTGCTCTTCTAACCCACGCAAAAGCTGTCAAATACCAGAAAAAGAGTTAAAAGAATCGTATTTTTAATGAGTCAAAATGCTGCATAATCATTTTAATTTTGCCTCTTGATAATGTATACTATATAACTATGTGTACCTGTAACTATGACGATCATCGTTAGTTGTAATAACGAAAACGGCGAAAAAGTGACGAGACGTGTCAGAAAGAGGTTTTCCTAAGGCATCTGGTCTGGTCTGTTACTGATAGGTTGGCATGTAACAGGGATAGAGGGTAGCCAAATAGCCGTACGGATTTGGTTCATAACCAAGATTAGTAGCAGAAATATCCGTATAAGACTTGTTTACAAGGATCGCTCCAGTTTAATTGTGAGAATAAGAAGCCGAACTGATATTCGAAAATTACTTACCATTAACTGAAGCAATGGGCATCAAATCCCCATGGGCACTGCTGGAAAAAGTGTCTTAACGTTTGCACTATTGTCAAACTTTAGAGTCTTATGAGAAAAATGTCGAAGATGTAAGTATGGCGGAGCAAGCTTTTGTCCCTTACCCTCCCTCCCTACAAATGACTGGAGGGTGACGCAATTTTGAAAGGTCATAGCCTCAAAACTTTACTACAGTCTTACTGATTTTGCGGAGCTCATTCAAGCAGTAACAATGGACTCCCGCGACGATGTAAAGGAAATGTGGAGCTATCGGCCATATAGGCGGTAGAGAATGGCAAACAAGAGATTGCACACTCTAAGTGAGAGGCAATTCCACAACGGTGTGTAGCCGAGAACAAAAAGTAAAGAAGAGACTGGCCAGTGGCGCTAAACGAAACGATGGCGGGAAGAAACGTTTAGGGCCTTTCAACTTAGGAATGCGTTCAGAAGTTTAGGAAGTCACTAATATGCATGTGACAAAAGCGGAAACGAGCACGCTTTACCTGAAGGAATAAATCACTAGATATTCCGAAAGTATAACAGTAGGTCAATAAAAAATTGAAAAACAACCATATTTTCAGGATCTGAAATAAATACAAAGAACCTACTTAAACTTTAGACCCTAGTTATAAGTTGCGGTTAAACTCATCAAAGATTGCGGGACTATTGGAACATATCATGTAGGCACTGTGCATAACTTTAGAAGCAACCGAAGACGCTCCACCTACATGTGTGTCGACGAGTGAAGTGCGGATTGATAATCGAAAATCACTGATTTTATACTCTTATACGCTTATAACTTTTGGTATTCACTCTGCGAATACTGAAATCTACTGTCTCAGTTTAGCGAGGAAATCGATTGGCAAAGTTATTAAACCAGTTAAGGTTTAATAATTTTAAGGTGGTTTATTAAACCACGTCAACAGCAATAAGAAAACTGGCTGCCATTTTGAGGAGCGAAGCGCGACTTGATCCGCACCGATCGTTGCTTTTAGCCGTAGTAATTTCTCTTCATCCTACCGACTGCTTTGTTTGTTGTCGAATACCTTACTTTACAAATATCAGATTGACCTCTAGACGCCCGATTGTCGCTAAACTCGTCAAGGATTATGTAAATATAGAATTAGTTAGCGTAACTACTAAGCGTAACCATGAA